GTGCTTGAGGTTTCCTAGAATTGTTGATCTGGATAGGCTGATGGCCAGCTGACTGCCATATTTGAGACCTTGTTGCAAGTATTTCCGGTCATATTTTTTGTAAGCTAGATTCCTGAGAAGGCAAATGTAGCTTAACATAGTCAAGAACCCTCGTTTATGGACTGAAAAATTTATTTTCCAACCTTTTTTCATAAATGAAACCAGGTACAAAAAACCCCCAACTTATTTCCCTACTACAAAGAAAAAGTCAGTGCGTTAATGCGGTCCTACTTGGTTGTAGTGGTTTGCACTTTACACATTTGCTTGGCAAGCAAATGTTGTTGGTTGGACTCCAGCCGGAGACACAAATCCCAGTTTGGGTTTGCGTCAGGAAGGGCATCTGGCGTAAAACTCTGCCAAATCAAACATCCGGAGTGGCCCAAAAGTAGCTTGAGTGAGGCTCTGCTTCATTTGACAACAAATTTATCTTAATTAACGAGATATGTACTTTTGTGCTATTATATTAATTTAAATGTCCAATTGTGTTCTAACTAATTTTTATAGTACCTGAACCCCAATCTACTGGCTGTAGTGACTGAGAGCACAGACACGCATCAGGAGCGCAGCTTTGTCGGGATCATCCTGATTGACGGTGTGACCGGCCGCATCATCCACGAGGCTGTTCAGAGAAAAGCCAGAGGACCGGTGCATATTGTGCATTCTGAAAACTGGGTGGTGGTGAGCACGCTTGTTTGCTACAGTCATGTGTAGGGATTGAAATAATTACAACCACCTTTTGTTGTCTTGCTTTTTGCATCGTTACAGTTTGAAGGCCATTTGTTCAAAGCACATAACTAAATGGAGGAAAAAAGGAGAAATATTGAGGGTTATATTTATTGTGTCTCCTTCCCCTGTGTGACTCCGCAGTATGAATACTGGAGCACCAAGTCACGTAGGAACGAGTTCTCTGTAATTGAACTGTATGAAGGAATGGAGCTCTACAACAGCACCGTGTTCAGCTCGCTGGATCGGCCACACGCTCCTCAGGTTCTCCAGCAGTCTTACATTTTCCCCTCCGCCATTTCTACCATGGAGGCCACGCTGACTGAAAAGGGCATCACCAGCCGCCATCTGCTCAGTAAGTGCTACTCGGTTATATTGCTGTTTTCTGTGGTTTTTTGGCTTTTAGTTATTACATAATATGTTAGAAATAAAAAGTATTTTCAGCACCGGGCTGCCCTTTTTGTAATATGTTTGTTTGAATTTGCTTTGTCATAGTTGGCTTGCCGTCTGGAGGGATTTTGTCATTACCAAAGATGTTCCTCGACCCACGAAGGCCAGAAATAGTATCTGAGCAAAGCCGGTCAGTCCTCAAGTCAGGCTTAGTGTGAAAATGAAAGTCAGATTTTTCTTTACTGTTATGTGTCTGACTTGTTAACTTGATCTTCAGTGAGGAGAACCTGATACCCTATGCTCCAGAGCTAATGATCCGTACAGAGTGGTTTATCAACTACAATCAGAGTATATCAAGAGTGCGAGGTATTCACACTTCCCCGTCTGGACTGGAGTCAACCTGCCTGGTAAGTCTGCCTTCAAAGTAATGAAAAGCACATGACAGCACAGTGTAAGATTAAAATAAAATGGTTTAAAAATCATTTACATCACATATATTTAGTTTAAAATGGTACAAAGACAACCTATCAAATGTTGAAATGAAGAAATTTTATTGGTTGAACAACACACTCATCGGCCACCGCACTGGGTCACCTGTTCAACTACTTGTTTACATAAACATCTAATAAGCCAATCACATGGCAGCATTGTAATGCTCAAACTGAGCATCTTAATGGGGTAGAAAGGTGGTTTAAGTGGCTTTGAATGTGGTATGGTTACAGATAATAATCTGAAAAACAAAAACAAAATATCCAGTGATCAGGAGCTCTCTATGTGAAAATGTCTCATTGATGTCAGAGGTCAGAGGACAATGGCCAGAGTGGTTTAAGCTGATAGGAAAGCAACAGTAACTCAACACATCGAACTTTAAAGGAGATGGACTAAAGCAGGAGTAGATCACACCAGGTGCCACTTGGACCAGAATCTCTGAGCAATGTTTCTGGCACCTTGTTGAATCTGTGCCATGAAGAATTAAGCCAGTTCTGAAGGCAAAATGAGGTCCAACATCGTACTAGCAAGGTGTAACTAATGAAGTGGTCAGTGAGTGGATATAACATGTAACTGTGGCAATCGGAGCATGTTTAATATCGTGTTGCATCATTTCTTCTATGGGGTTCATAACCGAGGGGAAACAAACGCTGTTGTTTTAAAAGTGAAGTGTTTTCCCATCCTTGGTAGATATATTGATTTCAGCTGCTCAAAAGTTAATGGCGTACTTTACTAGAGTTGTGATCCTGAAATAATTGATACATTCCCTGGAAAAAAGACTCTGGGCATGTTGCTCTGAGATTTTCATATCATTTAGTGCACAAGCTCTGTGCACGTTTTCTCCAACCGTATTACCAAGCTGTGAGCCACGCACTAAGAGCAAACCCACTGGTCCCTTTTTAAGCCTGTAGTATTCCAGGTTCATGGTTTCCAAAAATATTTTCATATTTTGATTTTTCATGCCACTGAGCAGTTTTTTTCCACTCTGCCTCAGTCCATCTTACATGAGCTTTGGCCTCGCAAATGTCCTGGCCCCTGCGTCTTGTTTATGTTTGGGGGTTTTTTTGGTTTTTTTGCACATAGTGGAGTTTTAACTTGTTTTTGTGGACGCAGCAGTGAACTATGTTCAGTAGAGCTCATGCACAATTTTCCACAATGGAATATTGTCTTGTTTTTTAACCAAAGCTTGGCTATTCAGTATCTGCTTTTGACTTTCTTCCCCACTTACAAGGAATTATTTGGATCCTTTAATATCATCTGCCATAGATGAGAAATTCCCCCAGTTTAAATTAAATTGACAGTGGTTTTAAAAAAACGTTTGCCCACTCAGTCTCTGTCTTTCGCAAATGGTGAAATCCTCGTTGGTTTTACTTCTGTGAGGCTCAGCTTCTCTAGGATGTTTTTTTTTTTGTATAGCAAATCATGTTACTCAGTAACCTAATTAGTTGTGAGAATGTTCCACCGGATCTTTTTTTTTTTTTTTTTTGGTATAGCATTACGCAACTTTTCCAGTCTTTTTTTTTGTTTGTTTGTTTTTTTTGCCCCTTCCCCGTGTTGCTGACGTCAAATTCAAAATGAGTTCAGAACATTTTTTTTTCTTGTTTACCGTCCAATTTAAAGCATCTTCAAATCATTGCATGTACATTTTCATCACATCACTACTATTTGGAAACAGGGCTGTAGATGATTCCTTATTTGGAAATGTATTGCCACCACTTGGTTTTCCTCCCCACTTAAATAAAATCTTAATATGACAATTTTATTTTATTTTTTAGGTTGTGGCATATGGTCTTGACATCTACCAGACACGTGTGTATCCCTCGAAGCAGTTCGACGTACTAAAAGATGACTACGACTACATGCTGATCAGTAGCGTGCTTCTTGCCCTTTTCTTTGCCACCATGATCAGCAAACGCCTGGCAGAAGTTAAACTGCTCAACCGGGCTTGGCGGTAAGGCGACGGTTAAATTCCTACATCTGCCAGCTCTGTGGCTGCACGAAGGACCTCGGCTCCAAGAGATGAGACCGCTGAGGCCGTGCCTGTCCAAGAACACAGGTCAAAGTTCAATAAGGCCCATAAGGAACTGCAGGGGTGAGGGGACAGTGGGGAGGGGGTGAAATGAGGGGTTAGCAAAAAGTTTTTGTGTTTATTTTTTAACTTATTTTGCAAAAATGAATTATTTCATAGTAGAATAATTGTTCTTTTGTGAAATGTCATTTCGATTAAATGTTTAACACAGCTAATTATGAACCGATAAAACCGGCCAATTTATTAAACTATGGAGCTTGAAAACTTCTGCTCATGTGACAGTTATTTTAGTTTTCCTGGGCCTTTTTTTGTTTTTGTTTTTTGAGACATTTCTGCATCACTGGACTGATCTAATATAAAGCGATAACAAATGTGGAGCTGAGGGAATAGTCAGGAGAAATGCGTGAATGTGAGCATGAACTCGAACAGTACCATAGTGGAAGGGTTTGTTGGGTTTTTTTTAGCCTGCTGAATCACCTTGATACTCCAGTCCCGTTTGGATTGTTGGCAAATGAGCTGTGAATATGAGCTGTGAGGTGATAATGTAGCATGTACAAGAAATGGTTTTTTGAGATGTCTGAAAACCACCAAATGAACTGTTACACTGTTGCCACCATCACATGATGAACCAAGGGAATGGGAAGAGACAGTAGCCTTTCTTTTATGTACATCTCTCATCTTGTAGCTCATACTTTTATGAGAAATTTTCCACATAGCTACTGTTGATGCTCCATTAAAATTTCTCCCAAAACTCCATTCTGAGCGCTTTAGTTTGTTATTGTTGTTGTTGTTGTTCTTCTTCTTCTGTTAGCTGCTCCTTTTAGGGTTCTTCACAGCTGATCATCTGCCCCCATCCACCTATATTCGGTCACACCAACTCTCTGCTTTTGATTATTATTATTAGTAGTATTATAGTATTATTAGTAGTGTTATTATTATTAGTTCAATATTCCAGGTGCTTGTGACATGATCCACTCTAAATAACAACATGTGCTTTTTTATTATGTAGTGCCTGAAAGTTCAATTAGACATGGGATGGCAGCCTGGTTTCACCCTAATGCCATAAAAATATATATGTTCATAGGTTTCTCAGTTCCTCCATAACAGATCGAGGACTCATGGGAGAGATATATTCCCCACCTGGCTTGAGATGAACTCTGTATGAACTGCAAGAGGTGACCAGGGTGAGGGAAGTCTGGGCTACCCCTGCGACCTGAACCCAGATTATAGATGGATGAGACAATAAAGTTTATCTTATCTTGAAAAAAGGAGGTCAAACTTAGAGAAAGCTCTCCATATCATAGCTTGAGTGTGGAGAATGAAGCAATCCTAGAATGAATAAGTTATTTATTTCTATAAATAGATTAAAGACAATTTTTACAATTGACACAGAATTATGAACTTACAAACAGCCTTTGAATGGGCCAAGTCTGATACAGAACCTTCATGAGAACTTCATAGAGGTTGGTGTAACAAAGGTAAATGTGGGCCTGCACCTCAGCAGTGTAAACGTAACATGACTTCCATGCCCACACAGTAAAAAAAAAAAAGTATACACAACATCAGATTTACATCATTAAAAAATTTCACGAGGATCAGCTAATGACAATTTTTCAGCTCTATTTACAAATGCAACAAGTAAAAACTTCTGACTTGCTCTTCATATGTTTAAAGACCTGTGAACATAAGTGTGACTGCAGGTTTTCAACAAAGTTTCTAATGAAAATGAATTAGAATCTAGCTTTAAATACACACTGATTAAAATGAACAAATTGACACTTTTCTGTAGTTAATGTAGTTTGATGTAAATTTCTAAACTTTGGGAGTGATAAGGCTATCTTATCTCAATCAGCTTTGTGATACTGAAATCATAAGCTAATTCAAAAGCGCAAACACCCAATATTAGCTGCATCGACTGTGTGTGTGTGTGTGGGGGGGGGGTGATCTAACATGTTCATTTGCAAATTTACTATAAAATTTGTCAAGAATCTTTAGACTTGCACTTGGCTAACTCTTTATAATCTGGTATTTTTTAATGGAGCACTTTATTAAGTTTACCTGAAAAGATGCTAAAATATTCAAATAGTACTTTAATTATTTGGAAAAACATCAAATCTATCAACACATTATATTTTTCAAGCAGCATTGTGATAAAAAATAACAGACGTGGAACAGTTTGGCACAAGCCCAGCTTGTACATTTATAAAGACGTGCTCTCTTGTAAGGTATATGTTGCATAGCTAAGGCTGTTTTTAGTGGTATGAGCATACGACTGTCAGACTTTAAAAATTTATAAGTGATCATACTATTTTTTTTTTAGTAAGGAAACGGCAGTATCTTAGTTATCAAAAACTGACAAATGGTGATAGAAAATAAATATTTGTTCTCTATTTGTGAAAATACTATATTATTGTGTATTGTCGTTGTGGTCGAAGTAGAAGAGACGTCTCTAAAATACTGATTGGTAAAATGTTCAGTCAAAAAAACCTCGTGGATATTACACCAAACACATGTCAGTCAATGAAAATACCAATACGTTACACATGTGAGCAGATATCATCGCACACTGTACAGTTGTGTATCACAGAGTGATTAATAACGTCAGTCACCGTTTTGTACTCGTCTAGTTTCAGACATGGTGAGATGATTTCTACCTTTTCTGCCAGAAGCTGCTGTTCCCTGTCTTAGCAGGTTCACTCAGGAGTCTTTCTCTTCTCTCTGTGTTTGGCGGTCGGCCCGGCGGCAGCAGGATGTAGTGTGTCCCGCTGGCCTTTCTGCCATCCTTCAAAATCGGAACAATGCAGGGAGAAAACTGGGTTGCAGGTGGCTCACCTGTCATCTGTCTCAGCAACGCCTTGCTGACATATTTGGGGTTAGCAGCAAAACTCTGAGTGGCAGGCATCACTCCATTGATATAAATTGGAAGACTTTTAGGGCTTGGGGTGCGTGGTGGACAGGGTGGGACTAAAGGCACCCTAGGAGGGATTTTGGGAGGTTTGTCTTCATCGGTCCCAGTCTTTGATTTTGGTGGGATGGGGATACGAGGAGGGATTTGTGGCCTGTCAGTGGACCATGATGAGGTGCTGGCGTGTGGTTGGGTGGAAGGACCCGAGCCAAAAAATTGGATTCTAGGTAATAGGTTCTGCTCTGGCCGTTTGGCTCCAAAGGTATCCTCAGCTTCCGACACCACAGGCTGGTTTTCATCTGTCTGGTGACCAAGGCACCAAATGTCGGCCGCAAACCTGCCTCCTCCAAATGTTGGCCGGCCCTCTCTGCTTGGCCAAGAGAATGCCATGGATCCAACGCCAGCATCTCCAGCCCTCAATGAACTCTCTTGGTAGGCATAATTTACTTGGCCAAAGTCTTTGCTGCTGTTCCTGCAGATAGGCTTAGGGCAGCTCTTGGGCAAAAGGGGCCGTCGGTCACTGGTAAAGAACTCAACCTCACTATCAGCTGCTTCATCTGACATAAGCTCCTCGGGGTCTGGCAGAGGTGGCAAGGGTTTGGCCTCCCTCTGATCAACCCCGAACACTGCCTGTCTCTGGGAAGAAGGAACCACCTGGTCTCCCTCAATGGGCAGCAGCATGTTGTCTGATGCTAGGTGGTAGGAATCAGAAAAAAATGGAGGCTGGGAGAGAGAGGGGTTGGCTGCGGAGAGAAAAAGGGGCAAAAAAAGGAAATGTGTTAAAACACACAAAATGCTACGTTTGCTTTTATACTGAGAAAGCAAATTGTTATGTAAGGCTTTGCTATCGCTGTTGTCCCCTCCAGTGCAGAAACAACACTCAGAGGAAGAAACATGGAAAACAACTTGCTGCCCAACCGCCTTATAAAAACGTACTTACTGAAGATACTGTACAGGAAACGGGAGTAAAAACATCCTGAAAACACCAGCTTAACCTATCGCCTTCTTCGTCAAACATCAGCCACAACACCCTGATTAACACGGGAATCGTCATTATCTGCAGGGCAGGCCACAATCTTAACTGAGCTTCCCATAACCTTCTCTGTGGAAACATCCGACGTGCCCCAGACTGCAGGAACAGCTGGTGACTGGGGAGCGATAGCTTCCCCTCCTCCTACACCCCGATCTCTTTCCTCTGGTACACAGCTTAGTACTGTGATGGCAAACTCACTTGCATCCTGTCTAAATACTGTTCTACTAGACAAATGAGGTTTAAAGGTTTTTTTTTTCTCTAATAAAAAAAAGTGCATAACTTCACCTAATTTAACAAACATAACTCTTCACATCCTTTCAAAATTTCAAAACAATGAAAAAAAAATTGCCAGAATTTCTACAATTTACAGTAATAGCAGATACATACTGATAGTGTTCCTGATACATACGAATTCAAAGCAGAGGAGCTTTGATAAAGTTCATGCATCCATGCTAAATCCGTTTCCTTCATACATGTAACACTAATATCTGAAAAAGACTCACAGTTAAACTCGTTGGCCATTTGCTGTTGCTGTTGAAGCTCCTTCAGGGTTTGCTCTGTGTAAGCCCTCAGGCCAAAGCTCTGCACTCTGCAAAGCAGGACAGGTTGATAAATCCATACAGAGCTGTGCACGATGGTAAATCATTCCAAATCAGTCTTTATAAGACGAGCCTAACAAATGCATTAACAGGACATATGTTCAGTTGTCCTTTTTCTATTTGCAGTATAAAACAGTAACAAGTTACTGGATTTCTTTTCTGAGCCAGACTCTGTGTCTATGATTGCCAGACACTGTTATTTAGTTTCATATTATCTTGCTATATACATATATTATAATCCTGCATGACTACATGTAGTTGCTCATGCTAACATTTATCCCTTCTCTTATATTTCTCTTTTTTTCCTGGTCAGATTTACATGCTCAACATTTTGCAAAGCTGCCACAGATTCACAGATAATAATAACAGATTATTTACATTTTTTAAAAAAATTAGTATTAGGACTTGTGTAGTGTTAATTGTACCTGTTCAGGTCATGCTGTCTCCACAAATTATTCTGACTCCTGGCCATGATGTAGAAGAGATCGTGTTCTTATAAGAAGCTCTGTTTGATATCGATCTAAAGCTCCAACACAAGTCAGCTCCGTCAAACCCATCACAGCTTCATTCTAGCCAGTGGTAAGCTGTTGAAGAAACACTGACATTAGAGTGCAAGGGGATTCATCTGGCTATCTTTTACATTCACATCTGGCTTTTGCATTACATCACATCATTCAGGTCACACCTTTGCTGGTGTGAAATGCCCATAAGCAGGGTACAGCTGGATCTCATCACCGTCCATCACACTCAGCTGCACGTTCTTATCTTACCAGGCAAGGCAAAAGGCAGCAAACAATACAAGATAACTGCACATACACAAGCATACAGCATATATTACAGACAGATGGACTACTTCATGAAAATTGTATATAAAGCAAAGTATTTTACATTGAATAAGTAACATATAACAAAGTTCAAAGGATGTAACATTTCATGACATTCTTTATGTTTAGTATGTAGATTTGCAGGATTGTGAAAAACATTCATATCATTCACATTTCAGTGTAGTAAAAGTATCATTACACAACTATATCCAATAGCTTTTTCCTATTCTCAAAAAGGTTATGAAAGCAGGGCAAAAGAAACGTTTACATTTTGAACATATGCCACTTTTCACTAGACGCAGTAAACAAACGACTTGCGATACCCCGCATGTTTTAGGTGAGCCTTGAGGAAACGAGTAACAACAAAAGCCAAGAAAATTGCTTCAGCCTGCTCTCTCAGCCACCATATGTATCCAGTTTAAAGCTATTTGTCTGATGAGCAGGGTATTACACAACCTCTGGGTCAGATGTGGGAGGGCGACAGTACTCCTGCACCCTCCTTCGTCTCTGTGCAACGCTCCAGTATCTGCCCTCACAAAAGGGGCTTATTGTCCAGAATTCCTGTGATGCTGGATGACAAACTCCACCGCTGAGACAGCCCCAAAGCACCGCGATTATAGATGCACTTGAAGGAAAATTTAGTTTAAGTCTGACAGGGTCACAAGCCCTAACCTTGTTAGCCTACTGGCTGAGAACAAAAGTGCACTTAAAAAGTGGCACACTGCGAATGACTAGGAAATGTCTTACTGTTAAAATATTTTAAGGGGTTAAGGTGAGAGAGAATTTTGTGCAGACAGGCAAAGCAATGAAATAAGTACAGACTTATAAGTATAAGACTGTACGTGACATCCATGCTGATGATTAAGATTCTCAACTAGCATATATCTATAAAGATGATGACTGTTTCTCCTGATATGATGCACAGCAACTGATATCATTCCAGGGCGATGGACACTTGTATCAGGGCAAAGGTGAAGGTCATCCTGGTTTTTTTTTTTTATGATAGATGATGATGTCAACCTTGCTGTTGCGGTTTTGGCTTATGGTCAGATGTGCAGCTCAGGTTAAGCAGACCATCAGACAACTGAAGGAGTTTAAAACTGAGTGGTGCCCCTGTGTCTTCCCAGCAGTGACGCAGCAAAGCACCCAGCTGCATTGACTCAATGACATACCTCTAAATCTTTGTTCTCCCCATATATTGTACTTTACATATTTGTGCTTCTTCTTGCATTGAAAGCAACATTTAGAATTAAAATACAATAAGGCGGACACATACTGTGCTTATGCAATGAAATAAAAAGACCCATTTCACATTAAAATGAAAGCACCACACTGCCTGGAGGGCAACCCAAGGTCTCCATTCTACTATCACTGCAATCTTTCGCTTCAAAGACCTGCTTTGTTTCCTGTCCATGATAACTCCAATGCCGAAGTGGGAAGCAAACAATGCAGAGCATGCAAAGGAAACCCAACTACAAACAAAACAGTGACTCAAGCGTGGATTTGAATATTAATGCTATCCTTAAAACAACCAACTGTGGCGTCATTTCCACCCGTGAGCCTCGGAGATGGAAGACACAGACTAATTATGAATTCTACCGGCAATTACTCAGTGTCCATGAATGGAGCCACTCTCGGGCATGAATGGGCCTTTGTACCACTTTGGTGCACAGCGAAGCAAGCCTGAAAATACAAGTAAACTCTCCCATGAGGTTAGGACTAGAGATACGCCATGGAGACAAGCTGCCACGGCCAAGGTATGAGTCTGTGCCACAAAAAGTCCCCTGCGGGGGGGACTGCGTGTGTTGGCACAGTTGGAAGGACAAGCCAGAGGCTGGAGAAAACAGTTTGTTTAGTACATGCAGGGTCCTTGGTGTGTTGTCCTTGGCAGTCCCCACCTCAACTTTTTTTCAGGCAATAGACCATTCAGTGACCGGGCCTTCTTTAAGCACGAGTTGATTATCCTGATGGCGTGAAGTTTGCACCTTACACACACATACATACACACTAATTAGGTCTGCTAAGCTGTGGGACTAACTACAACACTGCGCGCCACAAAACTAAACAATAAAGCATTTGATTCAATGAGAGAAACCGTTTTAACAACAAGATCCGCAGCCCAAATACAAGTTTATTCACCAAACTAATCTAGGTTCAATGTGTGACTGCAGCTTTCAATTTTTTTTTTCCATTGCACTAACAAACCAGACCTTTAGGTTTATCTGCGTGTACTGATTTTTAATGGGTCACCAGGCGAAGGCCATGCTGTAAATGTGACAGTTTAGTGCAGTTCATTAGATCCTGACATTTCCACTGTTTAACTTCATTCACCTGGGGAATAAAAGAGGCATATGAAAAGATGTTTGTGATGATATTTAACTGAAAAAATGCAGTTTTAGTACTTGCTTTTTACTTACAAAAAATATTTTAAAAAAAAATAATTAAATAAACGTGTTAAAAATCTTTTGTTGTTACATATCTAATATTGTTACATAATATTATATATGTAACAACCTATCTAATATTGTTACATATCTAATATGTAACAAGATGGTAGGTAGACTTTATAGTCTACTTGCATGTCCGAAATGTTTTGTTTCTAATAAACTAAAGTCTAGATACTGTGCAGAAAATGAAGATTTTCACATTTTTATAGTTTGAAAAAAGCGCAACTCCACCTGGTCATGGGCCACATCGGCATGTAGTACATTTTCACATCATAACTATTAAACTATATATTTATAGTTTATTTTATTATTATAATTAATTTCCATAACCCTTATTGTCACTTTCTGTTATTGGCCTTTATCGCACTCTATTCTTGATAACACCGAGTTATGTTTAACTCTGGGTCATGCGCTTTTTACTGTAAATTATTTTACATTATATTACTGACGTCACTTTTTTTTTTACACTTTTTGAATGATAGTTGTGAACCAATTTTGACTCCCTCGTTTTATTTTATTTTTGCGCTTTAAATTAAACGAAAACGTCAGACAGACATAGAATTACTGGTTTACTCTTTATCGCCTACTAGTGGGTGAAAATGGAAGTGCCGAGCAGTCCAAGACCTATCCCGCCTCGACGTGACTTCCCTCGGCGGACGCGAGTGAAATCCCTCATTGAGTCAGAAGTACAGTGCGTTCCACTAGATAAATAACTTCCTCTAGCTGGTCTACTCACACAAATGTCCAGCTTACAAAATGCTGTCCACACACATCTGAACTATACAGGCTCTACTCAGAGAACAGACCTCAGTGATTTCTGACCGGCTCTTTTTCTTTTTTTTCGTGACGTCCCAGTGTGGAAAACACTCGTATACACTTAGTAACAGAGTAACATTCACATCACATACAACACAGCATCTGACCGTCCCGTGGTAAAGGCAAAGGCAACAAAAAAGAGCCAATGTTCATCAAACAACTTTTATGAGAACGTGATGAGCCTCACCATGCAAATGCTGCTTATCCGTCACGTACAGCTGGTTTCGTTCGATCGCCCTCAGTCCCAAGCGAGAAATGACACCCGTGAGGCTAAAATCCAGTCTGTCAGTCAACCCTGACCCATGTGCATCGACCCTCCTCTGTCAACAACACTGGGAGGTGAAACTCATTTTGTCAGAGTGACGCGGGTTTCCACATCTCCTTATAAAAGAATTCAACACCCAGAACGCGTTACTGTAACTCCACCCATGGCTGCCTTAAAGGGGAAAAATGCCTGTAATTCTTTTTACATCACTCTACTAGGAAATGCACTGAATACTTTACTAAGTTTACTTTACTATTTGATTTTTAAAATTTTAATTAAATGTATTTTTTGAGTATGTAGTTAGAACCCAATTCTGTCCAACATAGTTTTGACTCTATTAAATGTAACTGATAATCTGAAATTACTTTTCATATTACATTTTTACATACACATGATAATGTTATAAAATATGATTATTTGTTCTCAATTAAACTATACAAATCGTCTCCCTTTGACCAGGAATAACATTGAAATTGTACTTGCGCATTATGCTATCAGCAGTAATTCACGTTTCTCTTACGTTTCATCTCTATACTCCTCTGTACGGTTTTACTCACCTTCCTGAACTCTCAACTGCAGTGTGAATCTAACAAGATGTTGTTAACCTGTCTGCGCAACTTTCAGGTTTCAGGACACCATTCACAAAATCTATTTCCTTACAGTCAGTGGAACTAAGACTCTGTAGAGCTTAAGGATCTATGCTTAAATCTATTAAGCATTTCCCCTCCCATTTTATTACATCGTTTACCCTACACTAAGTATGCCTCAGCAGGTCAAAAAGCAAAAATGTCCTTTATTTTATTTGTTCCCTGTAATGCGTGTACAGGAAATTGCATTTCAAGCAATTGTGGCCTGACTTGTGTGGGAGTCAGAAAGTGTGTGGGTGGATATTGGCGTGTGTACAACATAACACTGATAAAGAGTTACAAGCACTAGATTGGCAGACCAGACATGAAGGATGAGGACTTGTTTTGAAGCCTGCATGTCACAAAAGAGTTGACTGTGTGTGTGTGTTTGTCCTGTGTTTGTCCTCACCCACGCTGAGAGAGGCAGAAGGACAATATGAGAGGCCATTTACCAGAAAATAACAGGGAAGTGAGTGCAGGCTATTCTTGTTTTCACCACAGGGTCCAGACCACACTGAGCTTACAGTCTTCCCCCAGACTGCCATCTGATCTTTTTACTGCAGTGACAGCACAAATAAATCCTTAGGCAAAATGACCCATCAAATATTGTACACTGTATAACCAAATCGTAAAATTGTAAGCCAAGTGACCCTGTAACCTTTCTTTCTTCCCTTGGTGCAGATTGTTGAGTAGTTCCTCTGCTTGTACTACTCCAATAAAGCCCACATACAGTCATATGCGGATTAAGGAGTGCCTTATACCTATATACTGACTGTAAATCACAAACCCATAAAATAAATACGCCACATGTAACGTGCTTACATTGCTGCAATCATCAACCATCCCTCTCCCACTAACGTTAACTTGTTTGCTTAAAGGAATACTCATAGTTTCAACAAATAAGCTGTTATGTATCAACTTTACATTGTGCAATGTGGAATTTCAAAGTGACACAGAGATGTCCAGTCACACCACTGTCATTCAGCTGTAAACCAAGTACACGTTTTGTGTTACAGTTAAGACTGTAAGACTAACAATACCAAACTATATAGAAATTAAATATACCACCTGCTGTCCCTTCAAAATCAAAATCTTAGTCTAATCATCTTTTAATAAATTGCATAAAGATGGCCATGCAAAATTCAAAGTTTTTGCCACTTTTACCAGCAGCTCTGCTCTTGCTTTGCAGTCCTCTGTGGGCGCTTGTGGTGACCCAGGATGCTCAGGGCTGTGGGGGTTTTTGCCAGGGTGGGCCAGTCTCCTACAGGGGAGGTCAAGTCATTTCCTGCTCTGAGAGACCTCCGTCCCTCACAGATGTCAGTGCAGTCAGAAGCCCACCTTCCACATCTGCAGCACTCCACCTCCCAACATCCTTATCAAAAAAGATAAAGAAGACTGCTTATTTTTAATGTTGCAAACATACATATATGTCAGACTTCGAGAGCTGGCCTGACTCAAATGCAGACTGGAAAAAAATGAGCAGGAATACCAGGTGGACTATGATACACATATGTGTGTGTGTGTGTGTGTGTGTGTGTGTGTGTGTGTGTGTGTGTGTGTGTGTGTGTGTGTGTGTGTGTGTGTGTGTGTGGAAAAGAACAGGATTAATGCAAGAATGAGTAAAAAGTACAAGATCATAATAAAACTCATCAAGACTTATGGTTATATTAAACTGATCTATCAGTTCCCCATCTGTCTGAGAATAGAAAACTAAAACGATGAGTGTGTGTGCAGCACAGCGCTTAACAGTGTCTCAAGTTGGAAAAGGAAATGAAGTAGGTAGGTGTTAACATATGTTTTCTATGGTAAATACATTCGTGTAGGTTGATGTGCTGACACGGTGACACAGGGAATTCTCTTATAGAGGAACCAGCTGTGTACAAACATGTAATAGCAATTAGAGCGCCGCTACAGGGCTGCTGTTTTCAAAGTCGCGGTTGACGTGTCTTGTGTTTAGGTTTCACATTCCTTGTTCCAGCGAATCTGTGTTAGAGGTTGTGATAACTACAGGCGCATATGGCGGCCATATTTATGAGCCGTATACTTTAAATATGTGATTGCATAAAACAATGTCCACTTGATGCTGCCATATGTGTAAGAGGTTAAAAATCAAGATTGTTCAGAGATGAGTAAACGATGGGTCACCAGAACTGAAAGAGCGTCGTCATTTAACTCTGGATTCGAGTTGCTGTAATTGAGAAAAAACAGAAAGATATTCTTATGAAATTCTCATATTTAGTGCATTGCACCCCTCTCTTGCCACCTACTGCTTCCTTCAGCCTGATTTGAAATATTTATGTTTGATGCTTTACTTCAAAGTAGACGGACAGTGATTAAGACCTGAATGTTGTGCTGCTGTGTGCAACGCTGTGTGTGATTTGAAACACACACCCCACACCTAGTCCTTGTTTCATTTAATGGCTTTACGGGTAGATCTGACAAGTTGGGAGCTGGGCTCCTCAAATGTCTGTGTGGGCTCACCACCACAGCCTTTGACCACATCTTAGCTTAGTTATCAAAGGAACAACAGTCATCAGGAGGAAGAGGAGGACAGATGGAAGAATCATGCCTCTGCTACCTTTTAATAATGGACAAATCTGGATGTGCACAAAGACTTCTGTGTAATCTAATCTGATGCTAAAGTGCTTTTTAAAAAAATAATAATAGCAACTGATATTTTCTGTGAATAAAATCCAGCTACAATGGAGCTTAATGGAGAGAGAAATGACACACAAACACACATAAATGAACACAGATTTCTTTAAAACACAGAACAAACAAACAATGAAGCAGCGTAGCTTTTCCCAGAGTACCAGCAGAGAAAAACAAAGCACAGTAAGCAGGCAAACTGATGGAGGAAGCACACCAAGGGATCAAGGGTTAAAGTGATTTAAACGCAGCAACATCAGATGTCATGGTGACAGTTTCAATGAATGGCAGAGATCTGAGCATGAAAGAAGAGCAATTCTTTTCCTAGGATACTGAACTGGACGCCTGGCCAGCTTTTCTACCCATTACATCAGGCCTCAGTGTGGGCAGAGGCTCTGCAAACCCAGCAGGAGGACTTCCGCAGCCCTGTGAAGTCCATCTTCAGTTCATTAAGAGCTTCAGTTGAAATGAGAAAAGGGAACAGAAGGCCGGAGGAGGCTCTGTGTAGAATCCAGATAAAAAGAATACAGAGAGTGCCTTGGACTGATCTTTGACCGTTATTTAACTCATCCGTGGCAGCTTTTCTTGATAAATCACACTTTTGCTGGAGTGGAAAAAAACATTTGCAGGCATCAATGCAAATTAGCTAACAAGGACATTTTGGGTAGAGAGAGGAGACACGAAGGCGCTGTCAATATTTGAATGTTTGCACAGTTTTCGCAACTTGTTCTGAGGTCGAAGTCTTTTTGCACAACTACGTCATCCCGGGTCATCTTTAGGAGGACGGTGGAAACTAGTCAAATTTGGTCAAATTGTTGTTCTGATTATTTAGTGAGTGTGCGTGTGTGTGTTTGTCCACGTCATGGCTCTATTGAGTAGCAAGGCTGAGAAATTATATACGTATACAACCCACAGTTTTCCCCAGAAAGGCATGGTATGCTCTCTTATAGTCTGTTCCTTTCCCAAAAATTAACTTGGAGTCCTGAGGCAGTTTTCCTTTTTTTCCCCCTCCTCCTCACTGTGTCTCTCCTCCCACTCCAGACCTCCTCCTTTTCTTCTCTCACCTTACTTACGCGCACTCCATCATTTCCTGTTGAGTCACAGTCAGGCTGCACCATGTTTTACATTTTATTAGTCCCCCTTTTTTTTAAACTTTCCTCCTCCACTTCCTTGTTCACAAGATGGCTATCATTTTAAATTGAGGGGAATGAAACACAACGTCGGCCCACAACAGCCTTCCAAGCAGCATTTTGGAAAAGTCAAAGCAGATGTACAAGTCTCTTCCTGGCAACTTGACTGATTCATACAGTAAATGACTTGGAGGATCAAAGGATTATTAGCTCTACAGATAATTCACCACCTCACTTGCCACAACATGTCATCAGTATACAGCATTAATGCCAAAAAAAGTTTCCAGCAGCAATGAAAAACAAAAGATGTAGCCTTAAGAAATTACCTTAAAGCATCAAACTGTCTGTTAATATTGATCACTGAGATGAATTACTTCCTTGGAAATTAAGTCCATATTGCGCCTTGGTATTTGAGTACTTACCCTGGTCATTTGGGAGGAAGTGATGCTGTAGTGAGGTCAGCACTAGTGTTTAACATATTCAGTGCATGCCTGTGTGTTAGGCAGGGTTG